CCCGGCTTCTCTTTACAATTGTTCTAATGACAATGAATTCTAGAACACGTATTGTTGTGGTTCACATCGGAAGTGTATTTTAATTGACATTATATGACAATCTGGAGCTAAATCAGTTCTTCTCTGCACTGGTTCCCTATGGTTCAGAGACAAGACGTGCTTTTCTTAGTTTATAAATCGGTGAATGACTTGACACCAAAACACATTAAAAACCCCGCCACCATTGTATCAACCTTCCAGACCACTCAGGTCTGCAGGTTCTAGTCTACTCTGCATCCCAGAATCAGAACTGAACATGGAGAAACAACATTTGGTTTTGATGATCCTCTAATCTGGAACCAATTTCTAAAAAGCTGAAAAATGTTGAAACACTGAGATATTTTAATGTAATATTATTAATCAGCTGCCTCTGATTAATAGCAACTGTAACAAAACAAACTGTAGTCTGTATCATTTCCCCTTATTTTGCCATTAAAAAATAATGTTTTGCTTGCTTAGCTCAATATTATCTATGATACTATCTAATTTGGATATACTTTTGTGGTAGCTGCATTGTCATGTCACCAAATCAATCACTCTTTACTAGAGTGAAGGACTATGGAAAAAAAAATATGCTATTTTCTTGTGACGTTTTGTGAGAAGTGGACAAGTTGTAGCTGAAGGGATCTTCAATATTAATGTCTTCATCTGGTGTGGTGTGCTTCCTTGTACTTCTTATTTCATTATCTAGAATTTCAAGATGACAATCTCAATTGGGAAGTTTTTGATCTGTTGTTTCACTTAAAGCGTTTCATAAATTCCACTGAAGTTCTTTTGCTTCAGCGGATTTATGATTTTTGGACATTGCACCGCAAAAAAAGAACTGAATGCTGTTCACAGAACACAACGCTTCAAATATATATTGGAAAGCGTTAAGCTGATCAGTTAGTGATGCTCCAGCTGATATCTTGTTTAAACAAACTCTTCCTACATAGCACAACTCATATGTTAAAACATGTGCAGTTAAGATGTAAACTTGCTCTTAGATGTTCTGTTGAATTTTGGTCCTGTTGAAAACAAAAAGGGCATTTTTTAAGAGATTGTCCTTTATGCCAATAGACTTATTTCTGTCTTTACAGCAAATTTATTTTGGCCACTTTACAGATGAGATAAAGAGTCAAGGAAAGGTAGGAAAGGAAAAGCAACAGAGCACTCTACACCAAATAATAGTGGAAAAGTATTGCAAACTAGCCATGGCGACACACTTTGAAGTGTTTATTTGTTGACATCCACTACTAGTCCCTGCATAATTAAACTAAGGAATTAAATGGAAATGAGGTTGGCTTAAGGGTTAACGTTTTTAGGAGCTATGCAAATTAGTTTTTAGACCACTCAGTTAGAACTTAATTGAGTTTTTTTTTATCCTGTATGCATCTTTTTGCCAAAGTTAGTAGCTTGGAAATTTTAGTTTGGCTTGTTCGGGTAAATCCATACACGCTTCTTGAGTTTGGTGGTATTCAAATGTTTGTCTCTCTCTTTTTTTATAAATATTTCTCCTAGGAAGTAGGTCGGGTTCAGCTTTTGCACATTGTTTTCCGCTTTGCTTTGTGCCTGTCCCTTCCTGCTGGGGTTTAATTGTTTAGTGTGTCTTGTCAGCCCCTGTGTGTGTTTCTGTCTATTGTCCTGTCTTTTGTTATTCCGTCGGTAGTTTGTCTGTTCATTGGGCTCACACTCTTCCTCTGTTACATGTCTTCTTGTTCTCAGGCTACTAGTTTAAATTCATGATTTATTGGGCTGCACGGAATTACTAGGCTTTATGGTAAATTGTTTTATGTTGAACCTTTTAATTTATTTTTATAAAGGATTTATTTTTTTATTTTTTTCCATCAAACCACTTTCTTTCGTGTCTTGAATTTGGACTTTCTGCTTCAAACTCTATCAGTTCCTGAGAATAATCCTACCAGTGTGGCACATGTGAAATATATAACCCCTTTAAGTAAATTTTGAAAGGATAATGTGCACTTATTTATTCCTCCTTTTTAGTTAGTTAAATCTATTGGGCTGCCTTTAATATTAACATATCTTGTTGATGTGCAGAGTCCACACAGCTTACAGAATATGCACAGTATGCCCAAGTATGTGGGAGTCTGCCTGATGTTATAGCTGTGTTAATTAGAATTAGCTCAAATCTAAAACTTGTGTGTACCGGCCCACTTTGTGCACCAGTGGGAACCCTGTTCTCTGGTAAATTTTGAAGTAAACGTTCTCCCTGCAGCTGGGCCAATTATCATAATTTTTTTAAATGAAAGAGTTATCATTTTTCAGTACTAAGCCAAAAGAATTGCAATCAAAATTAATTTTGGCAACTGAAGCCAGAGGCTATAGTTCAAATATGGAATAAGGGCTTTACCCTTGTGTGTAATCTAACATTGATTCAAAATATGCTCTTACTTTATTATGCCTTAAAACTACATTATATAATGCCCACCAGGACTGGGCAATATATAATGTATGTGCAAATAATACCCAGGCTTTTAAAGTTTGTTTTGTATAAGACTGTAACAAATCAGATAAAAATAAGTCGGGTACAGTTCAAATAAGTGCTGAACTGTATGTTAAATATTTAATCGAGAGTTCAGCAATTTATCGTAAAGTTTATACATTAAATCATGTTATTTACATCCAATTACTGCCAATAAATACTGAATTATTTTTGGAGGTGAGGTTTTTACCTTACTTTTGTATTTATGAAAAAAAAGGAATTGTTCTCGTTTGATAAATTGAAACCAGCAATAATATATTCCATGATAATAACAGTTTGATGACAATTTGGTTCTCAGTGTGTACAGTCTTTGTGCATGTTGGTGGTTTAAGAAAACCTAATTTCATTAGCCTGTTTCCTAGCTGTGACATTATAAAGCAATATAATTTAATGTTACCCATTAAAATGACCCACAGGATTTGTGCCAATTACGGATAATAGAGTCCCACCTTGCCATCAGGTTACCTTAAAACCTTATTTCCTCCTCTGGCAGTTACTGACCTTAACTTGGATCGGCAAAAAAGATACATATTTTGTTAATACTGCTGCACACACAAATACAACCTTTTGTTGATTTGAGGTAGAAAAAGAAAAAAAAGGAAAGAACATTGCATTTAAATGCCTTTCAGCTACAAACACACAAGCTCTGCATGCGCTAATTGTTTCTGGCACAGTGTCTCTGAGGTGCGGAGTAATAATGTAACAAGGTATTACTTACAGAAAGATGCACTCACATGATTTTTTAAAGCTAAATTTGTTACAAGCTTGCAGTTTCAGCAGCATGACCCACAAAACCTTTATGGTATAAGTAAGGTAAGTGCCTCACCGAGTTGCAATAGAGATGCAAAATGGCAGATGAAGGGCTTAACGTTGGAGCATTATTCTTGTTATATAGTGTAAGTCAAGTGTGTGTAAGTAACTTTGCAAACCCCCGAGGGAGAGGGAGAGCATGGCTTCATCAGAATTGGCCTTCATATCCTCAGTGGTTGTAACCAGGCGTGAGACATTTGCCCTGACTGTTACTTGCCCTTAGTCACGGTCACAGGCAGTTAAGTGACCAATTCCAATTCATTTCTTGGGGCTAAATAATTATTTAGAAAACCTATGTGACAGAATGTTGAACAAGACCCAGCCATAAGGGTTGCCTTGCTCTAATTTTAAGGCAATCCAATCTTGTTTAAATTGTTGTTTACACGTTAAAGGTCAAAGACATATGAGTAACCAAAGAGGTGTTAAGCACTGTCCTGGTGTGTCATGTAAGTGGATATAGAATAATAGTTCATTTTTGGTGATGCCATATATTAATTAGTTCATATTGTTCATGTGGCCTCACTGCATTCACTATGATAAAAAAAAAGTTCATTTTTGAAAGCGGTGTCTCACAAAACTTTTTGTATGATTTGATATATCATTGTTGTCATAGATACAGGATTGTTAACTTTGACTTAATTAAATAAGCCTAAATAATGCCATGGAGTGTGCCAGTCAGTTAATCAGTAGCATGTAAGTAAAGACATGAGCCAAGCTCTGGTGGTTAAAGTGTTGCATGAGAAAAATAAACAAAGCAGTTGGTTGGTGTTTTATTTGGTTTTATTAGGCTGTGGGAGAACCACAAAGTACTTTGTGGCAAAGTGTTTATTTTTTCATGACTTCATACCTTTTTCTACACAGATATTTTTTGTGATTTGGAGCATATGTGTTAGAAGAAAAATATATTGCAGTAATGAGAGGAAAAACAAAACAGAGAAATGATCTTCTGCACTTCCCACCACAGCTTTATTATATCAACTTGAGCTCATTAATGTGATTTAACTATGGTAATAAGTAATACTAGTCACACTGGTGCAAACACATCAGTAAATGATTGGCACAACCCATGATGCAATATCGTAGAAATGCTGATGCAGTCTTTTCTGTAAATGACAGAACCTAAACCATGTGCTTATAATCCCACATGCCGCATATCCCTTTCTGACATTACCTCATTTTCAAACTGTTTTGGCCTTGAATAAATATGCACTGTTACATTGTATTTTTGTATTCACTCTTCGGCTACTGCCTTAATGAGTAGTTGGAAGAAGAAGAAAAAAAATCGAGATATTGTTTATCATTCAGCAGAAAAGTCCTGTGATGTCAAAGTGCGAAGAATTTTCACTAGATTTTTCTTGAAAATAATGCACTTTCAATGGGCTTAAATCCAGGTATGTGTCTGAGAATATGCCAGGTGTAGACAAGCAACAAATATGGGGACTTTCTGGAAAACTGGGACATCCAATTTCTCAATATAAAACTGCTTGCCTGGATACTCTAATCTCATACTTATGTATTGTGTTAAGAACTCTTTTTGCAGGTTATAAACATGGCAATCTTTAACAAATGGAAATGTTTTCAATCCTATCACATTTGCTATATGAGCAAACATTTTTTTTAAAAACCAAAGCCACATAAAACTGATTAAATTAATATTTGTTACTTGTAGGGGAGGAGGCTCTGACCATGTATCTGGCCAAGAACAAGCTGGACAGAAAGCTGGTCAATGCTACGCAGAATGTGGAAGCCCTCCATCAGCTGGCATCATCCTACTTTATTGACCGGGATGGTACAATGAGGAAGTTGCATGAGATCCAGATCTCCACAAATGCCATCAAGGTTTGTATATTTTTACCATTAATATACCATGCAATGTATATTTTTACCATTGCATCATAACTGCAACATTAACATGATACAGTTATGATACATTGACTGAAAAACAGAATTCACTGAAAAACATAATTTTTTCATATGAATTATGTTGAGAACATAGTTTCATTTGCACACTACCCACAAATAGGGTACTTTTGTTCAAGATTGGAGATTTTGCTTTTACTAGCCATAGTGCTTTTATCATTAGCCTAACGATGCAAATCTGCACAAAAAAGGAAAAAAAAAAAAGCCAAGATATTTGTGCTCAAGCTGTTTCTGCCTGAAATATTTTCAGCAATGAAGTCATTCACTGATTCTGCAGACACTGAGGCAATGGAGCTAGAAACCAGAGCAATTAAATATTGATACCATTGAGCAATATTATCAACCAAAACCAAATGGCCTTTAGAAAGATCCTGACCATGTTTCAGTAATTAAGCCATGTGGTCATTCTTGATTTGCACAAGAAGGAGGTTATTGAGTTGTGTAAAAAAAAAAAAAAAATACATTTAACCACCTTTTATGTACTTTGTATTAAAATGACAAGCTCAAATTATACAGATTACTGGAACTATAAATTCCTTTCATTCTTTTAATATTAATATTATTGTATAATAATTGGGGATGTTACGGCAATGTCATAACGTTCCTTGTCTTTTATAACCTTGTTTATATGCCCCATGTTGTCTTGACATTGAATCTACTAGATTATTAAAACAAACAGACATTTAAACAAATTAATTAATAAATACATGAATGTGAACATGAGTGTATAACTACTTCTCAAATTTGGCAGTTAACTTGATTAGCAAGTCTGCATAACAGCAACAATGACAATCAGGCATAATATTATGGTCTGTAGCTATGCAGCCCCATACATAATTGGCATGTATAACAAATAGTGGTGTATGTATACATACATATAGAAGGACTTTTTATACTATGTTAGAAATGCATATTATGTATTAAAAAATGCTTATAAACAAATAATTGAACTCCTTTGTTCAATAACAAACATTTCATTGCCTAAAATGCAATAACATAGCATTCTTTTAGTGAACGTTTGATCATTTGCAAAATAGCACTTTCCCTGAAACTAGCTCGCTAACTAAACTAGCTAAATTTACTGTCTCTATTATATTATGTTATGTGTATCACGTAAGTGAGTGTATGTATGATCCAACCAACCACCCAGGTAGGTAGGTAGGTAGGTAGGTAGGTAGGTAGCCTAAGTAAGGAGGCTCAGAGTTCGCTCCCCCCAGCCACTTGTTCCAGCTCCTCTGGGGGAACCCATGGCATTCCTAGACCAGCCGAGAAACACCGTCAGCGTATCCTAGGTCTTCTCCAGGCCTCCTCCTGGTGGGACATGCCCTAAACACCTCACCAGAGAGGCCTCCAGGAGGTATCAGATGCCGAGTCACTTCAACTGGCTCCTCTCGACATGAAGGAGCAGTGGCTCTACTGGATATCTGACCTTCTCACCCTATCTGGGCGAGCCCAGACACCCTACAAGGAAAACTAATTTTGGCCACTTGTATCCGTGAAGTCGTTCTTTCGGACCCAACGCTCATGACCATAGACGAGGGTAGGAACTTAGATCAACCGCTAAATCAAGAGCTTCACTTTTTGGCTCAGCTCTCTCTGCACCATGACAGTTCGGTACAGTGCCTGCTTCACTGCAGACGCTGCACCAATCCACCAGTCAATCTCCTGCTCCATTTTTCCCTCATTGGTGAACAAGATCCTGAAATACTTGAATTCCTCCACTTGGGGCAGGACATCCTCCCCGACCTGGAGAAGGCACTCTATACTTTTCTAGCTCATTTATTTATGCATTTATTTCTATAGCTATGAATTTTTATTTTATTGATTGAGATGATAAAAGAAGGAACCTTGAACACATTGATCAACAGGTTTTGTATGTCATTCAACACATTCTCTCTCTCTTGGTTTTCTCATCCAGGGTGTCAGACACACACAGAGACACACACACAAATAATACACATGCACAATAAAGTATAGGTGGTAATGTTAGCTAGTTGGTTAGATAACTAGTGTTGGCTAACTTTGATTGAAGAAGGCTAATCTGTTGAATTGTGAAAATAATGCTGTCACAGTACTCATGATTGACACACAAACACATTTGTGAGATAAAAAATAAAGATAATACTTATATGTAAGAGTTCTTGCTGTGTAAAATATTATTCACTGGTGACAGTTAGGTCTCAGTGTGTTTGGTTCACAAAAGTCACAGTTGGTAAGAAACAAAGATTCCCATTAAATTCCATAGAAAATGAATACCCCATTATTCCACTCACGGAAGAATGGGGTAGTAACATAAAACATGCTATTTCTTAAAATGTATAAAAGGTAAATTAAAAATTTGAATTACATGATATCAGTAACATGTTTCTTGAGGAATACCTGGAATATGATGTGATGAAAACTTTTCATTACAAAGACATTGCAAAAGATGACCTCACCGGGTCAAAAAGGACCCAGTTACACATCAGAGGGTTCAATGCAAAATGCATACATCTTTTGTTCTTTGAGCTTGTATTCTCCAGCTAACGAATAATAAATGACCACATTTGTTCATGGTTTTTCTCAATCAATTCATCATGATTAGTATGATTAATTATTTCAGCCCTAACATACATGTATAAGATGTATAGATATTTATGCAGACTTTTTTTGGATTTTACACCAATACATGATATTTTGTGCAAAAATTTGAATTATAACCAAAATTTTAACAGAAATTGAATTATTCTGTTTTTCAAGGTCACAGCAAAACTCTATAGAGGACATAATAAAACCTTGTTTATAAATATGTTGGGCTCAACTTAATCAAATAAAAGTTTATAAAAAAGCAAAAAGAAAAAAAAGAAAAAAAAAAACTCTCACCAATGTTGTCACATATCTGTGCTTGCACACCTGCACAACAATTGCAAGTACACGCAGTGCTCACCCCACCAAAGCTTAACAACCCTGTCTTCATTTAGGGAGCACCTTTCCAGCTTTTTGTTGTTTTGAGTGACAAGTGGATTAAGGGGCTTTGGCAGATGAGACTTCAGGTAGCAGGAAGTCAAGCATGACAAAATTAAGCAGACCTGACAGCGACTGCTGCTGAGTCAGTTTCTAGGGAAAGCAAGGCAAGTGGTGTTGGGAAGACAGAGCCTCGATGCGGCACACGCACTGACGCACATGTCACTGCAAAGCAGAGTGGACTCTGTGCCTGTTCATCAAAACTGATGGAGCTGTAGCATATGTGAAGAAATGGGGCCTTGCCTGAGCTCAGAATAGACCTTAAAATGCATCAGTGAGAGGTGAAGGGAAAAGTTAGTAAATGGTGTATGAGATAACCTTTCTATGTTCTTATCATGGGAATATTTATCCTCCAGAGGATTTAAAAAGGTGTTTTTTTTCAAACACATAACGGAACATTTCTGTTCATGTAAAAACGGCAAAGAACATTGGTTTTGCTTTAAGATGGGTATCTTTCAAACATGGGTCTCCAGGACCTCCATGACTACTCAAACATGTTTGAGATATGGCACATCAAGAAAACCTATATCCAGTGTGAAAGCAGTCTTGACACTGCAGTTCTTCACATCAACCTTCCCAGCCAATTCCTACAGTTTTGCATCAAGATCATATCTGTACTGAAAGAAACCGTTTAGTCAACCATCTTATTTGCAATTTGGAGGTGTGTGTGCTTCTACAGAGTTGTAAGTCTTATTCCAATAAGATCCCACTGCAGAATGGTCTCTATTTGTAAACTATAAGCTCAACACAAAGCAATCTCTACATCGAAATAGTTTGATTAGGCCACTGTAATTTTAGCTTTAGAGCTCATGGATTGTTTGTTTTAATTGGATGGTGAGACCCTTTTTATTACAGTTTGAGCAGTAAAAGAAGGGAATTTATCTTGAAGTTCCATCACCGTGGGGGAAATAATCAATTGCTTCAATTGCTGCCAGCCTGATTTAGACATTATTGGTGCACTGGCCTGAAACCAGCATAGACAGACTTTCAAATTATATGATGACAAGTAAAAAGGTGTTTATGGGTTCCACCTCAGGGATAGGTGACTGGTTCTGCAACAAGGATTTGCCACACAGGATCTAGTATCCTAATCCTTATACTGCCATCAAGAGAATGAACCACAATAATCTTATCACACAAGTTGTGTGCTTGTTCAAAAATGTAGGGCATTTGTCACGCTCTGTTCTAGATGCACCCCAGAAGACCTCTCCAGGCCTCCACAGAGAACATCGACCTTCTGACTGATTTTTTTTTTATCAGTTTAGAGAACAATAGACTTTTTTTTAAACAAATTTAACTTCATGTTTGTTGAAAACAATGCTCTGCTAAGGTTTTTCATGAATATCAGAAAAATGTGCACTAGCAAACAAAGGAAGTAAAAAAAGTCCATGACTGTGTGCAGATGTGACTGTAGAAACATCATGTAAACTCCAAGACGACAGATAAAGCAACTCTGTACCTTTGAGGGAATATTTATGTTGTACTGTAATAACAGTATTATCCGCCAACCATTATTTTATTCTTTTTCAGTTCTTTTTGCAATAATTTATACAGTGAAATTAAATCGTCTCTTTATGAATTAATTCAGCATCATTATGCTGAAATACATCTGGAATGTAGAACACAACAAATACCTGAAGACTGAAATAGTATAAGTGAACCGTAACAAAGGCCACACCATCCCACCAGTCACGTTGGCAACAGACAGACAATGATCAGAATGTACAGAGGAGGCAGAGTCCATCAGAAAGCACGGATCTATAAACACAGAGAACAAGGCCTTTTCTCCTTCACTATTGATTTGGTATGTCGGTGAAACCTGCTTTGGAGAGCAAACGTCCAATCAGTCGAAAAGGAAAAATAAATAAAAAAAGCCTATTGGTCAATACTGCAAAAATGTTTCAGACATTTTCTGT